CCTGTCCGACGTCTCCCTTCACCCACTTTTCGGTTGTCTGTCCCCCAGGGAGGAGGTCACATATAGCTCCTTGTAATCGGTTCCCTCTTTTCTACCCATCCACTAACTTTCTTTTAAACTACAAAAAACATTTTAAAAAAACCAGCTCAAGCCCCAAGTGTGTCAGAAGAGAGATCAGATGACAAGATTTAAACACAATTTAAGCTCTGATTCCACCCTCCGTCTAATTTGGATTTATAATTTACAATCTTTGGGTCTCAGAGACTGGGCTTCTGGCTCTTTTCTTCAGTTCTTTCCATCTAAGATGCACTGGGTATGTTCTTCTTTCTTGGTTTCCTGACTCTAGGTCTTTGCATGGTTCATTTTCACTCTGTCTTCTCGAGCTGCCCTTTGGAAATTTCTGTTCAGTTTTTGGACTTCATCGCTCCTTCCATTTGCCTTAGCTACTCTGCAGTTAAGAGCAAGCTTCAGAGTCTCTTCTGACATAGGCTTTGAGCTTTTTTTTTTCTTGTCTCTTTAATGACTTTTTGCTTTCTTGATAAATGATGTTCTTGGTGTCGGCTCACAGCTCCTCGGGTCTTCGGTCATTAGTTTAATGCATGAAATCTGTTCCTGAGATGTTATCAGAATGCAGGTGGGATAGATTGAAGGTCATATGTTGGCTCTTGTGGACTCGTTTTCTTCAGCTTGAACCTGAACGTAGGTGTGAGCAGTTGATAGCCTGTTTCACTGTTGACCCCTGACCTGGCTTTAGCTTCTTGACCTTTTCTCTCATCTCTTCCTACAGGTGGAGTCGGTTTGATTAGTCCATGGGTATAGTTGTGTGAGTTGTTGCAAAAAAGGCATTTGCTTTGAACAAGTCATCGGTTTTGCAAAGTTCTCCCGAATCGGTTTAGCTGCATCTGGGGAAAGTTACTGTCATCAGGCAGAACCAGGCCAAGGGCCAACGATGGAACAGACCATCAAGTGCTCTCATGCACGTTCTGGCTGAAGTGGAAGGAAAGCTAAAGAAGTCCACGAGAGCCAAAATACAGCCTTGTGCGCATCTCACCCGAACGTAGACACCGTCTCACCAAGAGATTTGATTCATTGAACACAAGGGACCACAGACCACTGAGCTGTGGGATGACATCAAGCATAAAACAAGCGGCCATCTAGCCCAGAAGCAACAAAGCCCACATGGAAGCAGCACACCAACATGTGTGATCATGAAGGGCCGAAGGGACCAGGCTTCAAACACTGAAGGCAGGGGGGAAAAATCATATCATCGCCAATGGGGTGGCGCGTGATGGGGATCCAATGCCCATCTCTAGACAACTGGACATACCTTGCAGAGGGGTAGTGGGGAGGAGATGAGTCACTTAGGGTTCAGTATAGCAATAATGAAACCCACAACCTTCCTCTAGTTCTTAAAC